GTCATAATGTTCAGAGAGTTTGCATTGCATGTAAATTTTGTAAAAAAATTCCTGCGTTTCGGATAGAACTGGATCATTCATCAGGCGACAGTGCAAGTAAAGTAGATGACAGCTGTTGTATCTGTTATTGATAGTATTGTATTATGTCCCATGAAGATGGATTCAGTTCGACTCCGCGATATTATTGTTTGAAATTTATGTGATGTAAGCCGATTGAAGATGATGACTATGAAGAAAGTTGTTTTGTAACTTTTCATATGCCCATATTGTGTGCTAATTTTCTCAGTGAAAAAAGCTTGATTGATTTATGTATTTATCAACGCATAAAGTTTTAAGTATATTTTGTTTCTTAGGGGTCGCTGTCAGACCTGTGCTGGCAATATGGTCGAGTGCCCTGGCCATTTCGGTCACATTGAGCTAACGAAGCCAGTGTATCACGTTGGCTTCATGACAAAGGCTATTAAAATTCTGCGATGCGTTTGTTTTTATTGTTCCAAGTTGCTGGTCGACAAAGTATGGGCCTTTGTTTTATTTTTGATTTTTATTTCATACATGCATTTGTAGGATTCGCCAAAGGTTAAAGAAGTTTTGATCAAGTCGAAAAATAATCCAAAAAACAGGTTGATTCACATATATGACTTTTGTAAAGTGCGAGGAATCTGCGAAGGTGGCGACGAAATGGAGACGGATTCGTTTTCTCAGGCCGTGGAAAACATAGAAGATGCAGAAAGGAAAAACGTAAAGCTTTTCATATGTTTACAACGATCTCAGCGCGATGAATTTGAGTACTGATTAGAAACTATTTTATTTTATTACATTGTTTATAATTTTCTTTGGCAACATCTCTTCTGAAGTCAGTCAGTTTCGATTATCTTTTATCCTTCCGGGTTACGAAGACAGCAGCGTCAGTGTATCCAAAGTTAACTATTTGAGGTTCAGCAGAAGATAACCAGAAGATAACCGTCCCTTCAGACGCTTGCCCCAGGTCACTCTTGGCGGTCGACGGGGTCTTCGCCTATCGGTTGAGCAAGTATAAACTGATTCACTCTTTTCTGAAAGCATTTGTTCCTCACGTTACTTTTCGTCGAAGGTATTTCTCGAAAAATCTGCCTTACAGTTCATTAATTATTTCTCTTCACGTCATTTGCTTGTTTTACGACAAGTCTGATTTAGTCGGTTGATTTTTTAGTAATCTTGTTTTTTTGTCTCGGTCAGCCTGGTCTAGTTGACAATATGATCGGAATTTCTTATATGGTGTTAGTGAAATATGAAATGTATTTGTTATGCCAGAAATTATGAAACGCACTGCGCTGAACAGTGGAACAATTTACTTATAGCGGTATGATCAGGGTAGCGAAGTTGATGCAGACATTTGATTCGCGGTCTAAAGATCCAGAGTTCAAGTCCTATCGTTTCACTGCCCTTTCTTGATTAGGTATAAGGGTAGTGAATGCTAACGGTGCTGTGAGGAAAAACGGCAGACTGTTATACCCTGTAGTTGTCATCGAACTCGCTGTAATTGTTCCCTTCCTAAAATATGGCAAGATGACAGATATTAAAGCTGCATTATGCGCTCCATGAAAATGGGATGCTGCAAATACCGTTCGTCGCGAATGTGTATCAGAGACAGAAAGTAAAGCGTTTTCAAAAGGATGGCAAAATGCGCAGGCGACGTTACTGCGCCGGATTTCGCCTTTTGTGACCATTGAAGTACCTTGATAAGATTTTATGCTCTTTCCATTTCGTTTGATAATGCGTAAAGTTTCTTCCAGATCGTTTGTTTGTTTTGTTCGTGAGTAATTATCCTCTATTCACGGAGTAAACGATATCATAAGGATTTTTAGCAGTGGTCTCGAATCTTTCAGCTGATTTTCGTAAATAAAAGCTGGGCATTTTTTATGCATATATAACGTCAAACAGTGCAGTAAAGTGGCAAACGGGTGCAATAAAGTGGCAAACCACTTTTGTTGCTGTAAGTTTTCTGCCTGAAGATGACTGTCAAACAGCTTTGCATTTTAGCCCAAAAAATTGCAAACATTCCGTAAATTAAAAAATACGAAAAAACGGAACGCAAACGAATAATTTGGTCAATCGGTTGATTGACCAGTATCGACGTTTCGACTCGTCTCGCAGAAGCCTTCTTCAGGGAGGTCCTGTTGGTTCCTTCAGTCGGTTTACTGAGTATTTTAAACAGCCAATAAAACAGCACTCCTTAACGGGGAAACTTTAGACTAAATTTCAAACTTAACTATTAGTAAGGCTTCACTCCGTGGAATACATGTACGTGCTGTATAAATCAAAATCAGACTTCTTTACATTTACGAATATTTACCAGTGTTACGAAGTCAGAAACGAGAAACCATAAAAGAACTGCCAAACAGGCCTTCCGAAATTTGCAACTTTGCGAATGAACGAGAAAAGTAAGGTCGGCGACCTGACAGAATTAGTGACCGAATTTTTTACAAATCTGAGTTTCTTCAGCATCATTAACATGCTTATTTAGCAATCGCATCACTGCTTGTTTCTACCTTCGAGCTTTGCAGTGATTTTAGTCGCCATTAATATTAGTCAAATCGTTCCTCAATTGCATTTGTGTTATTTGCGTAAAAAATCGAAGCAACAATTCGTATTTAAATATATTGCAAGTGAAAGAAATTCAAGCGTGCGTGCAGGTTATTTTTTTAGCACAAGTTCGGTTTGCATTTCATAGTTACAGTGTTTCTGTGATTTATCGATAAAAACAAAGGTTCGAACCGCGATCTAACGTCCTTAAACGCAGACCTAAGACTACATCGAACCTGAAATCGTTCCAGATTTGGATGTACTGTGGATATCTCATGGTAGACTCATTTCGTAGTTTCATGTTGACAGAAATCATTTATTTTTCTGCTCTTTCTTAATTTTGTACATTTATATGAAACAGAAGGATAGTTGCCTTGTAACGATGACTTTAGTAGTTATTGAGAAACGTTTTTTTAAACTGTTTTCTGCCTTTGGGCATTCAAGTTTTACTTATCGTGTACGTTGCTTTCTCCTGCCATTCAAAAATTGCATTATTTCTTTCATTCTTTTCTCTGAGGGTTTTCTCTACCCGAGTGGCAAAGAATTCCAAGAAGCCACCAGCCATGCATGCCTGGACAGCGTGAACTCTTTAGAGGAGGAAACTAAGCAAAAAAACAAGGCAACACGGTCAGCTTTAATTGCATTAAAGCATCGGTATCCGACAGCGAGCTGTCCATACGGGCGCAGAAAGAACTGTTCGAATTATCTTATCGTACTTGCTATGTCATATGGCACTGAATGTTGGCCTGCTACTAAAGCCGAAGAAAACACTGCAAACTGATGGTCATGCAAAGAACGGTAGAGCGATAGATGCGAAACGTGTCCTTCGCGATCACGATCCATTGCACAGTGGATTAGCTGATGCAATTTCTGCCCTTTACGTTGTCCAGTGAATATGGACCGGTCATGTAGCTCGCGTGAGAAATAGTCAATGAACTAAAAATTACAAACTCAGTTACGATATACCACCAGTATCGAGTCTAAGAACACACTGAGATGGTCCGACTGTTAAATTACTTAGTCAGCGGTAAGACGGAAAGCGGAGTGCAAAGAATATTGTAGGATCGTTGATTTGCATTCATGGTGCGCTTGTAATGACGAAGTGTCAGATATTGGATCCTGTTGTCACAATATAGTGCAATTATTGGAATTATTTAGACTAATGTATAATTCATTATGAAATAATCTACATTTGTATGCTCTGTATGATTGCACTTTGCAAACTTGTCGGATGATTCTGATCACGTTCGATCCATTTCGAAAGCTGTATACATAGGTAGAGTTAATTGTTACGTAGTTAGTCCTGGATGAGTTTTATAGTCCTTGGTACCGATCGAATATGATCTGAAACTTAGGGCGTTTCGTTGAAAACTATGATCTTGTAGAATAACCCGTTATAACTTTTAGTACGATCTCTCATAACCTAATAAAATATTATTTCATGATATCTGATTTCGAAATACAGAGATAAATGCTTTGAAGCAAAGCAGCAACGTTCTGCTGTTTGGGAGCAGCAACGATCCATATGGTGCAATGCTAGCTGTTTTGAACTCAAGGTTTTTGTTAAATGTCTCAGATTTTCGTTGTCAATTTTTTTCACTGCCTCTCTGGTTACGGAGAATAAGTGGATTGCTAAGCTGTTGGTTTCTCACCAGTTACTTGCATTTCACTGTCCAGTTGTTTCTGACTTGCTTATGTTATAGGGCCATGGAGGCTGTGGGCGCTATCAGCCGAAATACAGACGCGTCGGACTGGACATATTTGCAGAATGGAAAAAGACTAATGAAGAATCTCAAGACAAGAAGATCTCCCTGTCAGCCGAACGGGTACTGGAGATATTCCGTGGCATAAGCGACGAAGACTGTTTCGTTCTCGGGATGGATCCAAAATGTGCCCGACCGGACTGGATGATCATCCAGGTATTACCCGTCCCTCCTTTACCTGTGCGTCCGGCTGTTTTCACGTTTGGTTCCGCGCGTAATCAAGTAAGCTTCTGAAGTTCACTAACAGTTTTCTGAGTTCTATTTTAGGATGACTTGACATATAAACTGGCTGATATCATTAAAGCCAATAATCAGCTGAAGCGCGATGAACAGAATGGTGCTGCCGCCCACGTGTTGTCCGAAGATGTAAAATTGCTGCAGTTTCATGTTGCTACCTTAATTGACAACGAAGTTCCTGGTTTGCCACGGGTTCGTACTCCTCATGAGCGTTTATCCTTTCATGATCATTTAGTTTCGTTTTAGGCGACGCAAAAGTCTGGAAGACCACTCAAAGCGCTTAAACAAAGACTGAAAGGAAAAGAGGGCCGCATAAGAGGAAATCTGATGGGAAAACGTGTGGATTTTTCTGCACGAACCGTCATCACCCCTGATCCGAATATAGCAATCGATCAGTTAGGAGTTCCGAAGACGATTGCCCAAAATTTAACATTTCCAGAAACCGTTACGCCATTTAACATCGAAAAGTGCGGTCCCTGATTCGAGCCACGATCTGGATATCGTTTTTATATGAACGTCATATTTCAGATTGCAAGAACTGGTGAACCGCGGTGACAACCATTATCCAGGCGCAAAATACATTATTCGTGATAATGGCACGCGCATTGACCTTCGTTACCATCCTAAAGTGTCTGACCTGCATCTGCAGATCGGCTACAAGGTCGAAAGGCACATGCGCGATGACGACATCGTCGTATTCAATCGGCAACCGACGTTGCACAAGATGTCCATGATGGGACATCGCGTTAAGGTGTTGCCATGGTCAACGTTTCGACTGAATTTGAGGTAAAATTGCATAGTTTATACGTGGTACTGAAATGTTAATCGTTTACAGTGTGACCACCCCGTATAATGCCGATTTCGACGGTGACGAGATGAATTTACATTTGCCACAGTCGCTGGAAACGCGAGCCGAGATTGGAGAGCTTTGCATGATTCCACGCATGATCTTGACACCACAAGCGAACAGGCCGGTGATGGGTATCGTCCAAGACACACTGACCGCCGCAAGAAAGATGACGAAACGCGACGTGTTCATTGAAAAGGTTTAATTGGTTGTATTCGTCTGGGTGTGTGACTCTCTGACTAACATTGGTTGGTTCTTTCATGCAGCACCAAATGATGGATCTGCTTATGCACCTGCCAAGCTGGAACGGCAGAATGCCGCAGCCGGCCATTCTAAAGCCACTACCGCTTTGGACTGGCAAGCAGCTGTTTTCACTCATTATTCCCGGGAACGTTAATCTCATTCGTACACATTCCACTCACCCTGATGAAGAAGATAGTGGTCCTTACAAGTGGATTTCTCCGGGAGATACGAAGGTAATCGAACGTGTATTTTTCACACTTCCTGATCCGATGTCTAACACACTGCTTTTATTCTAGGTCCTTATAGAGCACGGTGAACTGCTTTGCGGTATCTTATGCAAGCGGACCCTTGGAAACAGTGCTGGCAGCTTGGTTCACATCGTAATGTTGGAACTGGGACCAGATATCGCTGCACAGTTTTACTCGAGCGTCCAAATGGTCATCAATAATTGGCTGTTGATCGAGGGTCATTCAATTGGTATTGGCGATACGATCGCTGATCAACAGACATATAAAGAGATCAAGGAGACGATTCAGAAAGCAAAGCAGGACGTCATTGAGGTGATCGAAAAGGCACACAACGACGAACTCGAGCCGACACCCGGCAACACACTGCGTCAGACGTTCGAAAATATGGTCAATCGCATTCTGAACGATGCTCGTGATAAAACCGGCGCATCGGCACAAAAATCATTATCCGAATATAACAACTTCAAAACCATGGTGGTCGCTGGTTCAAAGGGTTCAAAAATTAACATATCGCAAGTATGTTAATGTCGACGTCTTGTTTTAGTTATTTTTAATTCTTACGGGTTGAATAAGGAAAACCCTAAGATAAATTAAATACCTAAAACACCAGTATTAATACGCTGAATCGCTTATCGTGCATTTTTAGCTAAAACAGGATCAATAAGTCATATAACGTGCCTCGGTAAATGCGAAATATTATTGTAAAGTTTAGCTGTAGATTATATACTTTTCTGAGTCAGTCATTAGAATGAATCATATAGTCGCTTGCGTGGGAGACTACTAGTGTGTAAAGCGTAGTTAAGCCATTGGATCTAGGTCATCTTCTATCATATAAGATGGAAGCCGGCTCTGCTATAAGATAGGAGGCGCTGCCATCCGTTGCTGTAAAATTGTTTTTCGACAAATCAGTTATTCATTGCGTAGTGAACAACGGGTGGTAGAAGTATTAGATGGAGAAAATGAACGTATTTTCGAAAGAGCGTTTTGCCGTAAATTTAATTTGGAATTATTTCTAATCAAAGGTATGCTCTAAGCCTGGAGTAAAATTGTTCCCTCGCGTTATCATACTTTGTGCGAAATTTATTTGTTTGGTCTTTAAGTTAACAGAAATTTAAAATTAAAGTTTCAGTTTATTGCAATGATTATTGATTTAACTTATTGTAATTATTATTGTACGTTGAGAAAGAAAATTTGCTGCAGGTTTTGCAGTTTTTTAACTGCGAATAAAATGTTTCGCAGACCGAACATGCTTTTGTGCAGTTGATTAATATCCGTGGCCTGATAATGTCATGTCTTATTAAATGCGTCCAATAGTATTCGTCTGTTTTCACCATGGTTTGTATTTTCCTTTCTTTACGCAGTGTTTCCTTGAAAGAAGAAAGCGCTGTTTTATGCTGAAGACAAACCTGGTTCTAATAAAATTACTTTTTAAGTGACCATAATTCTTTTCACAGTAGTTTTTCTAAAGAAGTGTTCAAAGAGATCCAGACAGTAGTTTTGGATTAAAATTTTCAAATATTTGTTGTTTGAACAGATCTTTTACACACCTATATATTAATTATTTAAAAAAGTTTATTTTGGATTCAGAAAGTGCTCACCACTGTTGGATCCGGAGAAGTCGACGACGATTTTCGATCCCAAGGTGTCGAGCCACAGGGTAAAATCTGATCTAGTTGTCCTTCCGTACCTGAATGTGGTTTTCCAGAAAATACTTTATAAAATATTTGCCGCTTAAATATCATACTTTCATGTTTTCTTTCAAATGAACGAATACATTTACAAGCCAAATAACTGTTACTATCTGTGAATACAAATGTACACATTTCTGTGTTAAAAGCTCGTTTTTAACGCACAAAATTTCTAGGTGATTGCATGTGTCGGCCAGCAGAACGTTGAAGGAAAACGAATTCCCTTTGGTTTTCGGCATCGCACTTTGCCGCATTTCATCAAGGACGATTACGGCCCCGAAAGTCGTGGCTTTGTCGAAAACAGCTATCTCGCCGGTCTTACTCCATCTGAATTCTTTTTCCATACGATGGGTGGTCGAGAAGGTCTGATCGACACGGCCGTTAAAACTGCTGAAACTGGTAAGCATATTCCTAGCATAGGTCATATATTAATCGTGTAGTTCCTGCATGCTCATTGAAACCCTCTCATTACATTCCGTACTTGATTGAGAGTGTATTGTTTCGTCCATAAAGGTTTGATTTTCTGCCTCGTAATTAGGTACCTGTACCAAGGTCGAGGCTTTCTCTTTGTGCAGTCTGATCCATAGTTTTGGAAGTTGAGCTCAACTTCAATAACGCAATTTTACGTCCGAATTTCCTCTTATTAATTTCCAGATATTATCTTTACCCATGACTTAAATCTATCTTTGATATCTTCTTTCCCTCCATATTTAGATTTATGATTTTTTGACCACGCTTGACGTGAGCTCTTCACTAACTATTACTTAAATCTAGGCTATATTCAACGAAGGCTGATTAAGGCGATGGAATCCGTAATGGTGAATTATGATGGTACGGTACGCAATTCGATGGGTCATTTGATCCAGCTTCGATACGGTGAGGACGGTCTCGACGGCGCATTGGTGGAGTTTCAGCAGATGCCTTCTCTGAAACCGTCCAACGCGGCTTTTGAGAAAAAATACAGATTGGAAGTAACCGATGAAAGGTGAAAATAGTGATCGTCTGAGTTTATGTGAAATGTTTAAAAGAATATTTTAAAGGATATCATTCAAAAAGTGTTTGAATTTGTTCTCCATTTATTATTTGTTTTGTTTCGGTTTTACGATGTCAGTATTCCTCATAAAGTATCTCGTGGTCACCTAAAGATTAAGCTATTTCATATGTATTTACTTTTTATATACAGTTTAAGGCTAGGTCAACTCTGAGGCTTGAAGTGAGTCTCCCGCATATCAGTTGACATAATCGCGCCAATATTGTGTAGATGCATTCATTGTTCGTTCGACGTTCCTGTGCACTCTGCGCTTTTGGGTTGATGGGAGAAGGCATAGTTGAAGGGGTTTCAGTGGACCGTTGGCATGGTGCCAACCACTGGTCATCCTCACGTTACGATCGAAGGAAACCGTGCCGTAGCCAGCTTTTCCTCGGCAGCATGATCATTAACCGAGTTTCGGAATAAGGTATTTAAGTATTTAGCCGTAGCCATTGAGTCAAGGTTATCAGAACCAGTTTAAGCCTAGTAGCTACGATTAACATTGTTTTTACGGTAGCCCAGGACGGCGTATGCCCGCGATGACGTGTCGCCGAACGTTGTATTAGTTCCTGCATCGCAGATAGAATTTTTTCAGCATTTTATGACGTTAACCCTAAGTAGATAACCAACCGAGATCATATCGTTATTCTACATCATATGTATTCTGATGCGAAACATTTACTCTTGTAAACATCTATGCTTATAATAATCAATTTTTGGTAAACGCCACTTACAACAGAATAAAGGCATAATAAAATCTTGCTCTCTGACGGGGTAAAATAATTATATTATTATATTATAAATAATATTATGCGCAGAAGTTAGTCATTTGAGCTTTCATATCAGAACGGTTTTTAGATACCTAAGAAGAATCTACACCGAAGGAATCGTGCGTGATCTTTTGGGTTCAGCAGAAGCGCTGTCTGAGTTGGACAATG